TGAATTTGGTACATTGCACTTTTTTGTTACTTAGCTATGCAATTTTAACTACATGTAGTTTCATTTAACATTGATCAAAAACCCTTCATTATACATTGATGTATACTTACTCAGCCCCAGAGAATCTCATGAGGTACAAGAAGCTGATATTGAAAAACAATGACGTTGTCGGACGTCAAGGAACTAAACGGCGACGGAGCCAGGTGATCATGCAATGTCGTTTTTATTATATAATAATTTGGCAAATAATGAAAGTATCAAGCTAAAACTTTTAACAATTCTTTATTTTTTGTTGTTTTATGTCCCTTATAAATTTTGAAAGCACAGACTACACAGTACAAGTTTTATAGCCTCAATCGACGAACTTTTTGATAACCCCTCGAATGCTACAAATATTTAACACCCCCCCCCCCAAAAAAAATAAAATCAGTTTTAATAGTGGTCATTTTTTAAAATTCACCCATACATATCGGTATGTAACTTTGTTTCCAAATTTTCTATTTTGCCTTGGCTATTTATTTTCATATGTTGTGTTGTTTCGGTTCATTATATTTTGTATTTCAAAACATTCAGAAGCTGCTTTTACTACACTCTTAAAAAAGTTTTACTTAGTAGTCATTTTTTACTCGAAATAACAAAGATAAGTAAAAGATAATTACTAAGCATTTACTTAAAATTTTAAATCAATTACTAAAATATATGTCAATTGCTAAATTAAAATGTTTTACTTGATTTTTGTATTTTAAAGAATTGTTTTACTTAAACACTAAAAAGTTTTACTTAGTAATTTTTATTTACTTAAATTTGTGTATATAAGTAATAACATTACTCGGCCTTTACTTAGATTATACCACTATTTACTGTATAACTAATATTTTTTTGCCCCCGTAAACGAAGTTTTGGGGGTATATAGTTTTTATCGTGTCCGTCTGTCTGTCTCTGTCTGTTTTTCCGCAAAAAATTTAACCTTGCCCATAACTTTTGATTTAGCGGAGCTATGACTTGTATATTTCACATATCCATTCCTTTTGACAAGAACTTTCTTTGAGTTTCGCCAAATTTGAACTTTTGACCTTGACCTTGGAGTTTGATCCACTTTACAAATTCCAAACTTTTTCTTTAGCCATATCTTTTTAACAGTAAATACCAGGTCATTAATACTTCATATATATATATTTTGTTGAAAGACCTTTCATTGGATACCAATAACCATGACCATTTGACTTTGACCTTGGAGATTTCTGTACTTGTGAAAAAACCTTAACCTTGTGAACTTTGTGATATCAAGAAATACCAGTATATTGAGATTGCATATAAGAAAAGTTTAACCTTTGTTATGTTGCCATACGAGGGGCATCAGCTGTTTCCCAAACACATCTTGTTTTAATTGTATTTAATTGATTTACTTAAAACAATAATTTATTTACTGAATCAAGGAGAATTCAGAGCAGTTTCAATACAAATAATTACTTAAAAATGGTAGTCTAATCACTATCAGGATTGAATTCTTGAAATGTAATATATAATTTTGGCTTCCATTTTAATTGTCTGTGAGGAGGAGTTATCTTTCTCCTAAATATTCCTTCATGTAAAAAAAGTCATACTAATTAAAATGTTGTATTAAGTACTTGAAACTTTAAACCATTTTAAAAATGGTCCTTAAAAAGATACAACTTATTCAATTTATAAGGCTTTTGATGTTGGAATTAAATGTTTTATTGTTAATTATAATAAAACAATTACAAAGAAATTGGCAAAAGAAATAGAAAGTATTGTTACCATTCCATATAGATTTCATCAGATTGACTACTCAGAAAGCTCAAGTAGGACACTGTGATTAGTCTTACATTTTGTAATTGCATAGTTACATTTATTATACCTCTGTGTATTTTTTCTATATAAAAATAAGACGAATAAACATGCTATTTTTTTCTAAACAGTCTCTACCGTGAAATAGTTTTTGTGCTATTTGCCCATGGTGAATAGTCCTCAAACTATTCAACGGCAGCATTCGATTTCCCTCGCTTTTCATCTCGGAAAACTTCTGATTTTATATGAATTGTGACGTATATATTATGACGTAACAAAACTAAAGTCAGCATCGGTATAATAAAACACCTATTTACTGACTATTCGGACAATAGCAAGTTTATCGTCCCCCTCGACAGCAAACTATTTCCCTCGGTTGCGCCTCGGGAAATAGTTTGCTGTCTTGGGGGACGATAAACTTGCTATTGTCCTCATAGCCAGTAAATAGGTGTATAATATCTCCTTTATCAGAGGATCGATACTTTGCAGTTTTCTTGTAAATAATGTCGATTTTAGTAAATACCGGTAAGATATTAAGTATTTCATTTACTTAGTTTTCTCTTAAGTAATAATATTCTAGATTTTAATTAAGTTCAGAATTACATTTACTTAGTAATAATTCATAAAATCTAGTAAATGGAAAGCATATTATCTCTAAATTAAGTAATAATAGTTTACTAAAAATGAGTAGTTCATTTAGTAATATAATTCCTATTGAGTATTGATACTTAGTAAATCATTTTATAAGTAAATGAATTCATCCTTATTACTAATTATGTTTACAATTACTTACCATGATAGTCATTTACTTGCTATTCTGACTAAATGGATTACTAATAATTACTAGTTTTTCTTAACCTAATATCTTGTTTTAAAAACAACAAGTAAAACTTTTTTTAGAGTGTAGCTATAGTTACCTGTGTAGAATAGTGTCCTCTGTAGCAACCACTAATGATAAAACATCGCTTAATGATATAAATATCATTAAGCGTTGCAATGGAACGCTTCTTGTCATAAATTGTATTAATGGTTGACATTCTCAACCGCTAATGCTAAGTCGCCGCTACATGAGAACTATTTTTGAATTATTTTGCTAATTTTAGTCAACTCCATGTTTACTATCCCGTGGATATAACTCAATAATTTAATTTTATTTTAGTTGTAACGCGTCATTTGATTGGGTAAAAGATTTACTGACTGAACAAGGTAATTATGCCCGCCCGTGATAAAGCGGACCAAGTTGCGATGTGGGTATACTAGTATTCAGTTAAGGCATCACAGGCGCTTGATATTAAGACATTTCTCTACATTGACAGATCAGTAACATAAATATCATTTATTTTTGAGAATAAAATGTCTCTTAAAGAAATGTAAAGAGATACGTATTTAAATTTCTAAAATATGACTAAGCAATTGGTTTGCAAACTGAATGTACAAAAATACAGATAAGAGTTCATATATGACACTTTGAAGTTTCTCGAATAATAAAATCAAATACTGATGGAATTCGGGATTTCCTCTGGCAGAAGATATTCATACCCTCTCTTCAACTTCTCGTTTCTTTTATGAATCTTTACACTAATGTTTTTCAATTTTTTTTTTGAATCTGAAAAATAGAAACCATTTGGTATAAATTTATCAAATATTCAGTCACATCAAGAAGACAACTTTAACCCTTTTACTTCAGTGACTTCAAAAAAATTGTGAAAATCCAAATTTTGTTATTTATTCTGACGTAGTGTGCATGGTGCAAAACGGTCAACGGTAACGATTTTCAAATTTTACTATTTTGATTGAGGACTAACTGGGAACTATACCCGCTCAAACAATTAACTTGCCTTCAAGATGTCCAGTCGTATTGCCAACCAAGTTTCAAGTACATACAAATTAGGGATGTCAACGAATATTCGAGTACTCGACTATCGTTCGATCCTACCGACTATCGACTAAAATTTTATTTAGTCGGTTATTCGTTAAAAATGTGTTTCATCAAAGTAATTTTGAATTCTGCAGTGTAACATCAAATATGATTATCATATGCCGAATCATGCAGTCAAACATATACAGTCTTCAAGTGAAACTTTCCTAAAGTAAGTTCTCTGCAAAAAAATGACAAAAAACCAGATTGGGAAAGAAAATCAAAAATGTTTGTTAATGATTGTCTACCTCTTACTCTTTTAAATGGAGAGGGCAATCGTTTAGTTTTGCAGATTCAAACTAAGATCTGACGTGATACAACTATTCAGAAAAATATTAATCAAACAACTATTACAAAATTGTAAATACATGTAAATTGGGGTCAGTTATGAGAGTAATTAAACCGTGTTTTATTTTTCTGATATTAATTTCATACAATCATTGTTTGCACAAAATTTCATAATTAAAATTTATCCCAAGCTCTCGCTCTCTCTCTGTTTTTATAAGAGACAAGCTTTAGTTGTTTACCTGTCAAAGATAATTAACGGACACGTAGAAATTGGCTTCAATTATGGGGTACATGTACTACCGTTATGTAAAGAAAGGAAAAATACGAGCGCTTGATATCTTGTATTTAGATAAAATGTGCAGCTAATACATTAATTTTGAAATCCAATACATTGGATACATATTGATGAACAGTTTTTTTTTTATTGTACTACGTACATGTTTACAATTGAGAAATTCGCTGTACAATGGTGATAGCATAGGTTAGATATTGTAAACTAGTCTGTAAAAAAAAAGAAAACAGTGAAAATGATATGAAAAATAATTACAATTAAACGAATATTCGACTAAGCTGTCCGATTAAAATCGACATCCCTAATACAAATGTATAAAATGGGTAGCTATTAAATTCATTCCTTAAATAAACCACATCTCTTACTCTTCCACAATCGCTACTGCAGGTGGGTCATAAATATAGTTCACTTCAAAGTCACCGAGAGCGTTAGTACATCGTTCACTCAGAATTGTCATGACAACCATAGTATGCAGAGAGGAGGCCCTATCTAGTAGAGACCTCACAACTTCCTGAAAATTTAAAATCAAAGCATTAAATAGAGGAATTTTGTCAGAGCAAAAACACAAATACACTCCCTCGCACACCCTTACACATTCTCAACACCAGCAGTGCACTTTTTACAAAACTGTTACTCTTGCTGTAAATGATGACTGAGTCTGAGATTCCGACAAATAACTTAACATTTAAAAAATAACATTTATTTACAAAGGAACTTCTTTGTTAATCCTTAATAACTACTATAACACAAGATACTAGTACATAACTTGAAAATTTACAGTGCTTTATATTATTTAATGCATATTATAAATATACTTGCTTGAAAATAAGTACCTTATTCTTAGGGGGTGATCCTTTAATTTTGGTTGGATAGTTTGGGGGAAATCCGTATGTATCGTACTGAGGAAAGTTGACAGCAGCATGTACTACACTACTGGTGTAAATAACGGAAGTGAACACAAGTATCAAGTCCTCTGTCGAACTGAACTTCCCGTCTTTAAATGGAACTCCTTTTTATAAAGTAAATACTATGGATTATCTTATTGAATGGAATTGAAAACTGGATACCTAAGGGTCGTAAGGGCACCTGAATCAGTTATTTATCGTATTTCACAAGGAAATAACTTCCATCAATTAAGAGTAAAAAATCCATTAAACAATGGAGTCTTGCACTATAGCAAGAACCTTTTACTAATTTTAATAAATTTCTCAGAACTAATTGAACAAGAGGCCCATGGGCCACATCGCTCACCTGAGTACTAAGGGTAGGAAAAAGTAGAAAATAGTTTTTTTTGTAGAGTTTTAATCCAAAAGTATGGATTTGCTATTTTTTAGAATATGATTTTTAAAGAATTTTCCTATATATATCTTTTAAAACTTTGGTCGGCCATTTTGGCCCAGCCCTACCCCTGGGGGTCATTGAGCATGCTTCCATATATATATGATGAATTATGGCTTTGTCATTCTTGAGAAAAAGATGTTTAAAGAATTTTCCTATATATTTCTATGTAAAACTTTGATCGGCCATTTTGGCCCCGCCCTACCCCCGGGGGTCATGATTTGAACAAACTTGAATCTACACTACCTGAGCATGCTTCCATATATATATGATGAATTATGGCTTTGTCATTCTTGAGAAGAAGATTTTTAAAGAATTTTCCTATATATTTCTATGTAAAACTTTGGTCGGCCATTTTGGCCCCGCCCTACCCCCGGGGGTCGCGATTTGAACAAACTTGAATCTACACTACCTGAGGATGTTTCCCCATAAGTTTCATCTTTCCTGGCACAGTGGTTCTTGAGAAGAAGATTTTTAAAATATGCCACCAAATTTTCATTTATTCCCAATTATCTCCCCTTGAATGAGGGCGTGGCCCTTCATTTGAACAAACTTGAATCCCCTTTACCCAAGGATACTTTGTGGCAAGTTTGGTTGAAATTGGCCCAGCGGTTCTTGAGAAGAAGTCGAAAATGTGAAAAGTTTACAGACAGACGGACAGACAGACGGACGCCGGACAAAATGTAATCAGAAAAGCTCACTTGAGCTTTCAGCTCAGGTGAGCTAAAAAACTCTAGTTCAGTATTTAAGTTGTACTTGTTTTGCGTGCTAAATACATTGTCTTAGGAACAGGGAAAAAAATTGCAAAAGATTACAATGCATTTTTACTACATGGACAGAAAAACCCCACCATCCAGAGCGTCTGAGGCTGGGGCCATGGCCTTCAAAATTCTAGTAGGGTCACCCTTGCTCATCCAACCATGCATACACTCTATCTGCTAAATAACCAGACATGGAGAGGATTTAAATTTAAATTAATTTTTCACTGCATGATAAATAGAACCCGCCTTTCCACCAGAACCTTTCACTCCGGGAGTCTGAATTTCACAGTGCTGGTACAGGAACCATTGCTTATGATAATCATTTACTTAGTTTGTCTGCTAGAGACCATAGAGCAGAAAAGAGTGTTTTAAAAAAGATGCATGTCCACTTTTTGAGCACTGAAGTGCTCCAGCTTGCAATAGAACCTCTGATATGCGTCCATGAATTTCATAATTTAGGTTGAAGTACTCTTTCTCCAAAAAACCTTGTTTGTTCTACCTACATGTTGTATGGTTCAGAGGAGAGGAATATATGCATAAGTTAGGATGTTCTAAGAACTTCCTCCCAAAAAACCTTACACAGCCCACTACATCCACTGGATTATCTATTTTTTCAAATGATAATAAGGGGAGTTCAGTTTTCACAGACACCATGACACCATTAAATTAAAGGTGTACAATGTAATCAAATACAATGATATATATAATAATATAAGATATTTAAATCTGGAAGACTTTGTTATCATAAAATATGCGCTCACGAATGATTGTGCAATAAAAGAAAGTTTTAAAACTTGTCAAATTCAATTGAAAAAATATGTAAAATTTCTCTCTCTCTGCATTGTTACCAAAATTCCGCCACCTCCTTCGGACTTAGGCATTGATAATTCACGTCCAAAGTTCTGAATTTCAGGATCGTTGTTGATTTTATCAAGTGTGTCTGTTGTATAAAAGAAAACATACGTTACAATGAACTTAAGTATATAACTTAAAAGTTTACTTCCGTTATGTATTAAAAAGTATGATACCTGTGTTTCTAACGTCCCGCCCCGCATGTGATTTTTATAAACCGCCCCTACGATGAGCCAGTGCATTGATGGAGAAATAAATTACTAGTATATTAACTATTTTTAATTTTATCTCGGACAAAGACATTGGAAATGTAAATATTCAAAAATTAATTATTCAATACAGAGACAAATAAAATACGCACCATAGTAGAGATGGACATATTTGGTGACGTAATTTCGGATGGCATCATACAGGTCAAGACTATCGTCACGCTGGTAGAATTGTGGTAGAATTTTTCCATCCTTGCAATATATCTGTCAAAGCATATTTCATATGAAAGAACTTTTATATTTCATCTTCATTCTTTTTGTATCGATTATCGAAGAATTAATAACTTTAAATACATTTAAGGTATAAGGAAAGTCTATTCCATTTTTTTTATTTAGATGTTCCAGCAAAATCCCATTTCCTTTGATTAATATTATAAAATTTGGTGGGTTGGGAGGGGATGGGTGGATATGTCTGTGTGGTATTCTAATTTAGTTTATATGTAACATGCTTTTCAAGGGAAAGAACGATTGCGCTTAACATCATTTCTTCAAATTTTCAGGCATCTTAATTATATTTTAATTTTTTTTTATAACAAAATTTAGTGCTTATTACAAGAATAAATGTAATTATATTGAACGGCTCTTGAGTGTGCAAAAATGCAATCGAAGAATAAAACATGGCTAAAAGAATATGACATGGATATGCTGCTATAAATTGGTGAGTGAAAACTTAAGTTTAATTATAAGCTCAAAAAAACTCTTGAAACTAATTAAGAAAGGAATTATGATTAAACGAACTCCTCTTTCTTTCAAAAATTCTGGATAGGTTCCTTCTACATCCATTCTCCAAGAACTTATCCTAAAAGAATTACATATATAAGAAGGTAACATTTTAAAAAATGAACGAAAGAATCAAACTTCGAAGATATTTATAGTGACCTAAGTGTCACGACTTTCGAAAGAAATACATAATGAAAAAATTGAACGAAATATGCAGTTTTAACCATAAGCACAATTCTAAAATTTTACAGGTGATTTGATTTAGTTTCATTTATATAAAAATTTATACTTGTAAAAAGAAACAAAACAGAGCAGCATAAAGAGCATTTGAATGTGCGAAATAAGTACAGTAAAACACACCTATAGCGAAGTGCCAGGGACGAACAATTTTACTTCATTATAAGCGTTATTCGTAATATGCATCAAGTACAATATATAATGAAGATACGGGGAATGAAAATCACTTCGCTGTAAGCGTCAATTCATTATAAATGTGTTTGCTATAAACGCGCATTTCAGAGATTCTAGTTTTCTTTTAGGATTAATCCCTCCAATTTTTAGCCATTTTTAAGGGTCAATGTTCCGTCTTCCCGTTTTATACATAGCTCTTGTGAATTATAAGTTAAGGAATATATATATATATATTTTAAAGAAAAATAAGTAACGCCAGGTGCCTTTAGGCTCGTAGCGGTCAAAAGCGAATACCTCCTCCACAGCACTTGACCCTACTTCTGGGTTGTCGGTGCGTCCGTGCTTAATTCCTTGCTTTTAGATGTGTATTGTTTGTATGTTTTTTCAAGATCAATCACTGTTCCATTTTCTCACTTTTTCAATATCAACCGCTAGGATATGAAGGGTATCCAACTCACAGGTTTGCTCTATTGAATTCTTAATATTTTGTCATTTGAAAGACGCATACGATCGATCGATTGATCGGGAATATAACTAAATCTGCAAGACTCAGGTGATATGTGAATTCACCGCAAAAGATGTTGTTTACCTTTTCTCTTGAGAAGATGATATTTGAAACTAGAGGTACTGTGAGCAATGAGCTCAATAAATGATACCACCACCTTCCATATAAATATAATGGGAGTGTCCATGCTTTGTTGTAGGTAACCCAAAATTTGTGTCCGATCAAAACTAAAATAGGAGATGCACAATGGCAATGTGTAATAAAGATTCTGTGAAAGTTTCATCAAGTTTCATTCAGTGGTATGAGAGGAGCACAGGCACCTGACGTTACTTATTTTTCTTTTAAATAAAAAAATATACCCTTACCTTATAATAAACCAAGGCCCACAGCGGCGCCATCTTGGATTTTTCTAGGTCTGTCACATCCACTTGTATTTTCGTCTGAAACTTCGTCAAATAAATTCCCTGCAACCATATTCTTTCTGTGGCCAGTCTTTCGAGGTCTAAACTTACGGACACTGCAGCCAGAAGGGCGCATCACACTTGCAAATACTGAAAATCCCTCGTAAAACTCGATCTACTGCTTCAACAATCCGAGAAATCGCCAAAGGGGGGCCGGAAGTTTACATACGACTTGAAATTCTTAGGGAAAGCCCTTTTTTGATTGGTCAATATATTTGTACGGTTTATTTTTAAAAATAACCGGCGAAATTAATACTTATTCCAGAACAATAATTCAGACAATAATACAACGTATATACATGTAAGAACATTCATTTTATTTCTATCCAAAATAATTTCGATATAGCTTGATCAAAGCGATAATATTTTGTAAATGTCGAAGATCGGCCTGATCATGCTAGCTGATCAATGAACATTTTCGAGACAAAATATTGAGTCGGTTGTAAGTTCCTACTTACATGCACTAGATATAATTAATAACACTGTCATTATTGATGCCCTGATTGAGCGCTATCCATGGAGAAGATTGACTTTGTTTAAATTTTAAGTATGTACGCACGTGTGTGAGAAAGGGGGGGGGCAAACTAAATTATTCCAGGGAGTGTTGAGATCTGCAATTTTATGTATTGCAATAAAGTAGTGGCATAGCGACATTTTTATTTTTTTTTCTTGGTGACAGATTATACATATACATATTGCATAAGCTAATTGATTTCATTACTGTAACATGTCTTTTCATCAGTGCATGTATCCCATCGCCCTTATCAATTAAGCATATGCCAGGTATATATGTATATACACATGTATATATAACTGGATGGTTTGCAGTCTATTGTTTTTTGAAAACCATTCAATTAACTCTAGATAATTTGTTGTTGATTTTTTTTTCAAACACCCCCCTCTTTTATTCAAGATTATTTCGAATGCAACGATCTGTATAGATTAATGTGGTATATTTTACAGGTATATTTATAGGAAGAGTTTTATTTTTCTCATTTTCCTTTTTTTTCATTTCAATAATCGAAATATTTGTTAAAATTTCAAAGTAATTATAACACGCCGCTTTAGATCCACCACAAAACTGACAAATACGGAATTCCCATTAGCATATATTGATGTAAACTTCCGGTCCCCCTTTGGCGATTTCTCGGATTGTTGAAGCAGTAGATCAAGTTTGACGAGGGATTTTTAATATTTGCATGTGTGATGCGCCCTTCTGGCTGCAGTGTCCGTAAGTTTAGACCTCGAAAGACTGGCCACAGAAAGAATATGGTTGCAGGGAATTTATTTGACGAAGTTTCAGACGAAAATACAAGTGGATGTGACAGACTTAGAAAAATCCAAGATGGCGCCGTTGTGGGCCTTGGTTAATTATAAGGTAAGGGTATATTTTTTTATTTAAAAGGAAAATAAATAACGTCAGGTGCCTGTGGAGAGGAGTTGCGGCTAAGAGACGGGTACTCAAAAGCGTAACAGAGAGATGGACGGACGTACGGACAGATGGACATAGAGCTAGACAGACGGACAGACATAGCGATTACTATATACCCTCCCGCTTTTCCAGCAAACAGATTAACAAATAGCCTCATGATTTTCATGATTTTAACAAATTTGAATCTACACTACCTGAGGATGATTCCACATGAGTTTCATCTTTCCTAGCCCAGTGGTTCTCGAGAAGAAGATTTTTAAAGATTTTCCCTACATATTCCAATGTAAAACTTTGATCGACCATTTGGCCCCACCCTACCCCCGGGGGTCATGATTCTAACAAATTTGAATCTACACTACCTGAGGATGATTTCACAAGAGTTTCATTTTTCCTGGCCCAGTGGTTCTTGAGAAGAAGATTTTTAAAGATTTTTCCTATATATTCCTATGTAAAACTTTGATCGGCCATTTTGGCCCCACCCTACCACCGGGGGTTCGGCCATTTTGGCCCCACCCTACCCCCGGGGGTCATGATTTTAACAAAATTGAATCTACCCTTCCTGAGGATGATTCCACATGAGTTTCATCTTTCCTGGCCGAGTGGTTCTTGAGAAGAAGATTTTTAAAGATTTTTCCTATATATTCGTATGTAAAACTTTGATCGGCCATTTTGGCCCCACCCTACCCCCGGGGGTCATGATTTGAACAAACTTAAATCTACACGACCTGAGGATGATTCGACATGAGTTTCATTTTTTTGCTGGCCCAGTGGTTCTTGAGAAGAAGATTTTTTAACAACACCATTAATTTTTCTCTAATTCATAATTATCTCCCCTTGGAAAAGGGCGTGGCCCTTCATTTGAACAAACTTAAATCCCCTTTACCTAAGGATACTTTGTGGCAAGTTTGATTGAAATTGGCCCAGTGGTTCTTGAGAAGAAGATGAAAATGTGAAAAGTTTACGACAACAACGACAACAACGCCAACGACAACAACGACAGACGACGGACAAATTTTGATCAGAAAAGCTCACTTGAGCCTTCGGCTCAGGTGAGCTAAAAAGGAACATAATGTGAATAATAATCAATCAGAATGAAGATTTCATGCGCTAAAAATATATAGTTTAGATCAGTTTAGTTCTTAGTTTGGGAGATTTGGAGATGAGATTTCTACGTCATTATATAACTTTATATAAATAGTATTCATAATACGTACGCATTGATTGCAATAATGTAGAGAAAATGTGGAGCCAACAGTTTAAACATGGGATGGGAAGGAGATAGACATCTATTCGCCGCTACACACACGCCTTCCATTCGTAGATGTGTGAAACCTAAATAAAGAACTTTAAGATCATTTTTTGAAAATCATCTATTTGACTTCTCGCTAAACTATTTTATATGCACATTGTGCACGTATTTTGTTCAAATCATAGGCTTTTAACCCCCCGCCCCCCCGTTTTACTGAAGAAAATGCAGCTAAAACAACCAACCAGTCTTTTCCTTAAAATTCAATATGCCATAAAGGTATTGACGCGAATCTACAAAAGGGTCCAGTCGTAGTATTCCACCATATTTCAAGTTAAAGACTACGCCTTGAATTTCCTACAAATATACATCGACAAAAGTTTTAATTACAAAAAAAACT